CCGCCCTGGTCCTGGAGGACTAGGGACCGACCCGCGCTGGCGCTGCAAGTTCGCGCCTCGGGATGGGGTGGGTGGGGCCCGCCGCGTCGCCATGGCAACCCGGCGGCGCCCTGAGGCCGTCGTGCTCCGAGCTGCCGGCTGGACCCCTGGGACAGCGCCGCGCGCAGGTAACCGGCCCTGGGACGACCGCATCTTCCGGATGGCCGTGGCGGCGCGGGACTCCCGGGGGCCGAGAGAGACCCACGGGCACCGGGACCCGCGGGGGTTCGCACGGGGTAGGGGTGGTGGGGACCGCGGGGTCCCCGCGTGGCTGCGGCCTGTGCCTCGGTTTTCCTCCCACTCCACCGATCTTCTAGTTTCGTGGCTTTCCCGCCTAGTCCAGGCGCCGGACCGCCATTCCGATGCAATTCCTGCGGTGGGGAAGTGCTGTGAACTGACAGCCCCCTCCCCCTCTTCCTCCTCCTCCTCCTTCTCCCCTTCTTCCTCCTCCACTTCCTCTTCCTCCTCCTCCCCCTCCTCCTCTTCCTCCTCTCCCTCCCCCTCCTCCACCTCCTCTTCCTCCTCCTCCTCCTCTGCTTCCTCCTCCTCCTCCCTCTCCTCATCCTCCTGAGTGCCGGGATTGAAGGCATGCATCACCATGCCCTACCCAGAAACAGTTTTCGATTGGTGGCAGTCTTGACTATTGACTAGTATGCTTTGCAGAATTAAAGTATTAAAAAAATACTGATTGGTTAAAAGTATTTCAGTGTAGAAGTCTGATAAAGCCTTCATCTGTCTTGTGATCACCACCATTCCCTTGTCTAAATCTCTTACTGATCTCATGTCTAGCCCTGAGGTCAGGGGCAGGGAAGGGGGTTCTGCTTGTTTTACACTGGTCTTCCCTCCTCTGCCCCCTCCCCCTCAGGTATGTAGGTGGTTCTCACACAGTAGTTAGGAGGAGCTGAAGTGCATTTTAATGCTTTGCCCGTTTACCATCACAGAAATTTTTTTTTTTTTTTTGGTCTTTTTGAGACAGGGTCCCCCTGTAGCCACAGCTGTCCTGGAACTTTCTGTGTAGACCAGGCTGGCGCGAGTGCTGGGATTAAAGGCGTGAGCCACCATGTCCGGCACAGAATGTATTTTTTAACTAAACTTCATCATTGGGACAGACTTGTATGTGTCCTAAGAATTAGTACTTTAAAACAGCCCTACTTGTCAGGAGGCATACCAAAACCCACTGAGTTCTTCAAATTGCTTTAATTATGTATATGTGTGGGGTGGGGTATGTGCATATGTGCGTGTGACTGAGCAGGCAGCTGTGGAAGCCAAAAGAGGGCCTTGTGTCCCCTGGAGCTGGAGTTACAACCGGTTGTGAACCAACAGACTGGGTGCCGGGACCCAAACTTGGGTCATCTGCCTGTGCCTAGGCACTCAATCACCGAGCCATCTCTCCAGCCCCAGTTTTTAAACTCTTTGTCTTACATTTTATGATATATTTATTCTACAAAACTCAAAAAATGCCAAAGAAAGACTTTAAGGGCAAAACTTTATGCTTAGGGGCTTGTTCAACCACGGTGGAAAACCTGAGAATCTCTGGCAGGCGATCCTGGGAACAGCAGTTCTGTACAAGCCTGTGGCAAGGTGCCAGGCACCAAGCTGTCATCGGAGCTAATGGCAAACAGGTACTGGTTCCAGCCGGTATAGTGTGCATATTTTAACTGAACGCTTAGCCAGTGTCCTAAGTGCTTGGGGACACTTGAACTAGTGGAGGCCTGCCTTTCCATGTCTATGGAAGCAAAAATCACCATACGCAGAAAAACCCATACTAAATGGTTTCCCAACAGCAGAAATCTCGTATCTTATATTAAGAATGGACGCATTTTAGAAATTTCGATCTTTTCCCTCCTAACAGATTATAAAACCCGAAGTATAAGCCAGATGTAGAAGTTTCTTGACATGGAGAACCAAGCCCATAATACAGCAGGGTAAGTGTTAGAGAAATGTCTATTTAATAAGCTAATAACTATGCCACACAAAAACAATGAAACATGAACTTTGAGGTCTCTTGTTAATAGAAGAATATGCCAATTGTTTCTGGTAAGTGGACTGGGGGAAATTTCAAACGACTTATGAAGAATCTATTCCTGCGAGTCTTTCAGACGTTAATTCTGGAAGATCACACTCTCGGCATCTTAGGTGTAGGACCCAGACTGGCCGTGGCTCTCACATTCCCGCAGCACAACACCTCCTGGCCAGTTTGTGCCTTTGTTAATAGAAGAATATGCCAATTGTTTCTGGTAAGTGGACTGGGGGAAATTTCAAACGACTTATGAAGAATCTATTCCTGCGAGTCTTTCAGACGTTAATTCTGGAAGATCACACTCTCGGCATCTTAGGTGTAGGACCCAGACTGGCCGTGGCTCTCACATTCCCGCAGCACAACACCTCCTGGCCAGTTTGTGCCTTCCACGCGGTACAGAGTGCCCCTCTATCCCTGCTCTTAAGGCTGACCGTACTTTTCCCAACATTCAAGTACAACCTCACCATAGACTCACTTCCACGACACAGCAAGAACTGGGTATTTTCAGAGCACATTCACCACGATGGGAAATGAAGCAGATTCCTTTCACATTTAGTTACCTTTCCCACCTCTTCCTTGACACCAGCACCACAAAGATTTCACTAGCCATTTGGCCACCAGCTAGCCTCAGAGCTGGGCGCTGCAGGTAATGCTCCTGAGCCCAGTCTTGACTGTGGCTGCCTTTGGCAGGAGTCACAACACTCTAGGTGACTGCTCGGGACATGGCCTTTATATCAGGCTAAAGGAAAGCTGCACAGGTCTAAATGATGATCAGATTTTTGTCCTACTGCCTTACAAATGCCAGACACCAGTCTCATTGGCAAAAAGACAATAGGATGTGTTGTAGTACAGCCTGAGGTCTGAAACACACATACACACACTAAAGAGGTTTAAAAACCTTGAACTCTATGTCAGATACTCATCCAGAGAGAAGCAGACAGCGACTGGTGGGGTATCTGTCATCTTTACTGAATGATTTCACCTCTAGGCCCATAGTGGTTGCTTCAGCTCCAGTCATCAGGATTGTGCTCTTTCAATCATGACTGCGCCTTTTAAAAAAACTGCTCTTTTTAAAAATGTATTTGTGTTGTGTGTGTGTGTCTGTGTGTGTGAGTGAGTGAGTGCTTTGTCTGAATGTAAGTGCACACATGCAGGCAGTGCCCTTGAGGTCAGAAGAGGTTGTTGGATCCCCTGAAACTAGAGTTGTGGATAAAAAATGTATTTGTGTTGTGTGTGTGTGTGTCTGTGTGTGTGAGTGAGTGAGTGCTTTGTCTGAATGTATGTAAGTGCACACATGCAGGCAGCGCCCTTGAGGTCAGAAGAGGTTGTTGGATCCCCTGAAACTAGAGTTGTGGATGGTTGTTAGCTGCCATGGGAGTGCTGGAACCCTGGTCCTCTGCAAGGGCAGCCAGTGCTCTTAACCTCTGTGCCATCTCCATGACTGTGCTCTTAGTGAGGGGAAAGGAAGGGCAGGAGAGAAAGACTTTTTCTTTGGGAGTGTCACGAGAGGCAGCAGGTCTCACCTGGATTCACTATCACTGGCCAGAACTCAGTGTCAGCGAGCTATAAGGCTTGGAAATGTGATCTGTACCTGGACAGCGTGTGTCCAGGCACAGCTCAGAAATTCTATAATACAGGGGGTGCTCCATTGAGGATGGCTCAACTGAAATCGCCTTCCTGAGTGTGCAAAGCAGAACACATTTGGTAGAAACCATCCTTCGGGTTTTGAATCTGGATCTTCTCACAGATCACTCTGATGAGGCCAGTGGACTGAAGTGCCCAGTTAGCCACACGGTGGAGAGGGTGGTGAGGGCGGACAGGCTTCGCCCCACTGCGGGGCACTGAGTGCTGAGTATAGATGCTCAGCTCAGTAGGATACTCAGTGCATTGTCAACCTTTGGCACTTTCAGTCATGATGGGCCTGTCCAGACATAACCGCACTATAAGCTGAGGATTTGGAGAGGAAGAAGAGTGACTGCCGCATCACCTGCAGCCTCTGCCAGATGTCCAGCTGATCAGTGAAGGAGGCAGGATCTGAACTGAAACATGTCCAGTTCTAATGTCTGAATCCTTTTGCATTGGGCTGCCAGGCACAGCCTGCTTAGAGCTCACACACAACCAGGGCAGGATTTGAGCATGTCATGGGACAAGTGTGACTCAGACACTAAGAGCTAAGACACGGATTGAAAGTGTCATACATGACGCCAGGCATCCAGCATTAGATGCTTTCACTACTGCAAATCTGAGAATCCGGCTGATTCTCTCCATTCCTTCTTTGGAGAACAAAGGTGTGGGGTACTGAGTGTTAAGCCCTGTGAGACTAAGGTTGTTTAGAAACAGTGGTCCTTAAAGAACTCAACATTTAGTGGAGAGCTCTAGACCAGTTCGGTACAGGGTAGTTACAAAGCGGAAATTATTGAGCATACCTGAAGGGTACCCTGAAGAACGCCCACCCCTCATGGTATGCACATGGTCTCCAGGGCACAGAGGCAGCCACCCTCAAGCTGTTAAGAAACCAAGAACAATCTGGATCATTCACTGAGGACTTGCTACAAAGTTGATCAAACCATCTGTCCTCTGCACGCAGTAATGTTGCTTGGGACAGCTTCTATTCAACAAATACTCGGCATCTACTGTGAGCTATATACCTCATAACACCGTGTAAAGGAACATATATATCAAATGCTGATGTGTGTAATATAAAGAGTCATCTGGCTTCACACCACTGTTACCAAGACAATGTGTTTTGTTCTGGTCCCCACCCAGTTTTCCACACCCAGAGGTGGCCACTATCACCTCTTTGGACAGGTAACTCTCCCAGAGCCGTTGGTGTTTAGCTCAGTATTTTTACCTTTTGGTAGTAAGCCTTTGACAGCTGCGCCGTGTCTCCGGCCCAGCTCAGCATCTTTAAATAACGGGCTTCACTGTTGTTTCCTGGTGTTTTCATTTTAGGCATCAACTGCGGCTTTTACACTGGATTTATTCAGGCCTCCGCCTCCACTTTCTCCCGGCTCCCTCCCCTCTCTGTTGTGCCCCCACCTCACACTTTATTTCCTTACCCCCGCTGCACTGTGGTTTTGGTAGGATCATCATCCCCTTTGCCCCTCACGGCTCTGTAAAGTGGTATTCATCGTGGAGTTTTACTGTGACCATTTTCCCTTCCTGTTCAGAGTCCTTACGTCCCAGAGTTAATAATTCTAGCATCATGAATTTCTGCAGTTTCTTTTTGAAGATCACTTTCTATTTGCATCTACTCTGTCTTCCCTGCCCTGTGCGTTGCTTTTTCTACCCTTTGGGGTCCTGGACTGTCTAGGAGTGTTGGACAGGAAAGGTCTTGGGGGAGTTTTGTGCACACTGCAGGCTCCTGCTGACAGCAGCCTTCCTTGTCTGGCCATCTGGACAAGGATCCTTGAAGGGCATAGCTCACCTGCTCCAGCCTTTTGGCTGGTCAGATCCCAGAGAGCCCTCCTCTGGTCTCTGGTCAGGATATAAGCTCACTTTTGAGGGCATGCCAGGATCTGCGGAGAGGGCTGGAATCTAAGCTTCAGTGCAACGCCTGACTTTCCTACCCATTTCTCACACTTAGGCTCTGCCTTCCCTGTGTCTGGTGTTCCCCCAGTTAAAAGCTGTCTGCTTTGTGTTTTTCAAAAACCATGCTTCTGGCCTAATGCTAGGGAGAGAGCCCAGGTCAGCCCTGAGTAGTGTTTCCTCCTCATTTCAGACTTCCAGAGTTGCCAATCTGGATTCTCTTATTAGTTACTTTTTTCATTACTGTGACAAAATACCTAACAAAAGCAACTTAAGGAGAGGGTTGGAGAGATAGCTCAGCAGTTAAGAGTGCTGGCTGCTCTTCTAGAGGACCCAGTTCAATTCCCAGCACCTACGTGGTGGCTAACAACCATCCATAACTCCAGTTTCAGGGGACTCTAATGCCCTCTTCTGACCTCTGCTGGCACTGCATGACGTGTGCACTTATACACAAGCAGGCAGTACATTCATACACACAAAATAAAAATAAATATTTTTTTAAAAGCACTTAAAGGAGTGGTTTCTCTTGGCTCACAGTTTGAGGCTACAGTCTACCACGGAGGGGGACTCCTGACACAAGGATCGTGTCGCAGCTGGTCACGGTGCATCTATTGTCAGAAGCAGAGAGAGAAGAACCTGGTGCTTGTCCTGCTCTCCTTCTACAGACTGGGGCTCCAGCCCATGGGATGGTAATGCCCACACTTATGGTGGGTCTTTCCCGACTCAGTTAACCCTTCTAGAAATTCCCTCACAGCCGCGCTCAGGGCTCGTCTGCTAGGGGAGTCTGGCTCCTCTCAAGTGGGCAGCAGTGTTATCCATTACACATTGCTACTTGGCTTTCTGTGGCTCCTGTTATTTTAGCCCCTGTAGTGTTAGCTTTGCAGTTTAAATATATCCATTTGCTTCATTTTATTAGGATTTGGGAGCAGAGCAAAACGTGTGTTCATCTTTGATCCAAAGCCTCATTTCCTGCTGTTGAATCTTTTACAGTCTTTCATTCTGTGACTCACGCCTTAGCCCTTGAGCCCCTTCATAGAAACTTGTCAGGAGCTCCCTAAGATCGAGATGCTACTACGGGACCCACCAAACAGGTCTCATCCTCCGTGAAATGTTTATATTCAAAGAAGAAAGTCAAATGAAAATTAAAGATTAGCTTTGCACACCTGAATTCAGAAAAGTCCTTGAAAACGGGACTCTCTGTGTGTAGTCTTCTTAACTCTCAGGCGTCCTTTCCCCTGAGAGGTGCTCCTGCAGGATCTCAGCTCTTTTTTGGTGCCTTAAATACAGTTTTAATTACAGTTTTTTTAAAAAAAACTACTTTTCTGATACAAATCCCTCAACAGGGAATTTAGGTAACTACATTCTTTTTGTAGATTGAAAATTCTTTTTGACTGATTCTCATGGCTTGGTACAGATATCGCCCTTTACCCACGTTCACATACCCACTTCTTACCAAAACAATCAAATTTAAAAGCTTTTCTAACTGGGTGAAGAAATTAAAAGAAATAGACCTTGAGCAAAAATCCTAATGTGTGATGGTGGATTCTGCAATGTTAGCCTGGGTCTGATGGTAGGAATTGAGTTGTGATTCTGAAATGAAGGAATAACATTCAGGAGGAAGAGAGGAAGAGGAAATAAGGGAAGTTTCCTTTGAAAGATCAGCTTCTATTAACTTTAGAAAAGGATTTAAGGGGCTGGAGAGATGGCTCAGTGGTTAAGAGCACTAGTTACTCTTTTCAGAGGACCCAGGTTCGATTCCCAGTACCCACATAGTGGCTAATGTCAGTTATGCCCTCCCTCTACTAAACTCAAGAAGCAGAAAAAAAAAAAAAAAAAAAAAAAAAAAAAAAAAAAAACAGAAACAAAAATGAACGCAGCAAGAACAGCAGTGACTGACCAGTGGCATCAGGACTGTGAAAACCCGACGGCTGGCAGGTGATTCTGTGCTCAGCAGTGTGAGTCTTCTCCCTCATCACACCCTGACAGGGTGGGGTTGCAGTCAGAGTGGCGGTGTTTTAAAGAAATAGTGTCAAAAGCAGGAAGATCACATATGATACCGCACTCAATGGACCAGAGGAGGAGAGTTCAAAGTTAGTTAGAAATGGGGTTGTCTGAAAAGATGAGAGCTGTGATGATTGTACAGATCTGGCTGAGCTTTAAAGGGCTTACCTTTTAGCTGTGGAATGCATGGGCCATTGGCTTTCGTGGGAGTGGCCTTGTGGTGAGACTCCACTGTGATGGAGTCTGGGGGGTAACACCTGGAATGCACGGTTTTCACCCTCTGAAGTAAATGAGGCGATGTCTTCAAGTTAATGGGAACATTTGCTGCTGTTCTCACAAACACATAGCATAGCTGTCCTTGGAGAACTCCACTAGCTAAGCCATGATGCAGGGAGGAACCACAGTGCACGCAAATGCCAATGTGTGGGAGACAGGACAGAGCCAGTGCCCAGCAGGGGCCATGCAAAGGCCTTCCAAGCCTTCTCCACAGCCTGATAAAGGAAAGCGGAGGTGCTGTATGCAACTTACATTTTCAAGTTATGCCACTCAAAATAATTGAACAAGAAAACTTTGGCTAGTCAGTAAAACCACCCTCTCATAAAGGACAGCTTCTCCGAGTGTCTACACCGAGAGTCAGTGCCCATGTAGCTCAGAAAATGAAATGAGCACTGAATGTGGCTCAGTGGTAGAGCGCTTGCCCCACATTTGTGAGTCCCTGGGTTCAAACCCAGTACGTCAGAGAAAAAAGGAGTCAAGGTAGGCTATGAGACATGAGTGACCTGGGAATATCCGTTCTCTTTTCCAGCATGTGCTCTCAGGGGAAGTATACACACACTTACAATGGCAAGCTTAGTCAAGATGCTTTGAGTGGTAATGGCACTGAGGCCCTCACCTTGCAGGGTTAATGGAGGCCACTTAGGAAGGTACTCTGCCCTCCCAGTTAGGGTGAGGTCAGTCATTGGGAAGATGGAAGGAAACCCCACCTAGCAGGACTAAGGACGCCCTCCGTCCAAGTGACAACGGAGGCCCAACCAAGAACCGGAACTTCCGGCATACAGCAGCGCCTGCTGGGGCATCGTCAGCACAGGCCTGCTGGAGACAAAACTCAAATAAGGTCCCGAGTCATAATGCAAGGCCCTCACAGATGAAGTTTGTGTATTTCTTACGGTGGGTGATTCAGGCCCACATTGGTAGGAGCCTTGTGGAGCTTATAACTTAGTGGAAGAAGACACGTTACAGAAGCTGATACATACATATATGCACATATATGTGATATGGCCTATAACATGGATAATGCCAAGATGTGTGCTGACGACTGCTATGAAGAAAAATGAGGCAGATTATAGGAATTGACAGTTACAGAATAAATCTGACAAGCATTTGAAGGAAGACCTAAAGAAAGCGAGAGATCTGGGCACATGGACATGCTGAGGGTCCGAGTCCCAGGCAGGGCGATCAATGCAGCCAAAGCTCGGAGGCAGGAGGACACTGCAGTCTTCAGTGATGGAGAGGCCAGTGCGGCTGGAGCCGGGGGAAGCGCGGGGAGAGTGGGAGGAGATGAAGCAGAAACACCAGCTGGACTTGAAGACACCCAGAAAGGCTCAGCTGTCCTGTGTAAAGTGGGAAGTCAGAGACTTTGGGTCAAAGTGCATTTTCTGACTTTTAAAAGACCCACTGGATGGCTATGCCAGGAGACTCCCTTAGGAGGTTTTGAGGAGGCAGAAAAGACAGGCTCAGTGGCTGCAGGAATCCATGGAGGGAACGGGTAAATGAGGTTGCGGGAGGCAGAAATGGTGAGGGAAGAAGAGCGTGTACTGAAGAGCTGACATCATTGAAGGCCTTGGGTCAGGCACAGGCTGTGTGAGCAGTGATGGTTCAGCCACCAGGAGAAAGCTGTCCTTTACAATGGGAAGAGGGGCAGAGAAAGCAAACCTCTTAGGCTGCAGGAGAAGACCTTTAGGAATTACCTGCGTTTGGAGCCCAGGTGTACCACGGGGCCCTGGCCTCGTTTGGAGCCCAGGTGCACCACGGGGCCCTGGCTGCGTTTGGAGCCCAGGTGCACCAACGGGGCCCTGGCTGCGTTTGGAGCCCAGGTGTACCACGGGGCCCTGGCTGTGTTTGGAGCCCAGGTGCACCACGGGGCCCTGGCTGTGTTTGGGGCCCAGGTGTCTCATCTGCCTCACTGTCTTCAGCAGGTGACTTTGTGGTTTGTGGACACCTTCTGTTTGCAATAAGCTGACCTGTCTTCGGCACCACCTCTCCCTTCCAGGTAGTGGAGAGAAGGACAGTGAGGGAACCTAACGTTCAGGGCAGTAAGCACAGCTGGGGTTCCCACAGATGCCAGCTCTCAAAACAAGAACTTGACAAGAATAATTAGTGTAAAACTGGAAAGACATGTGCTAGTTTCCAGTGGTTACCAAAACAAATTACGACAAACTTGGTGACTTATTCACCAGAAACTTATTCATTCATAGCCGAAAGGCTATAACCCCAAAATCCTATCACTGAGAGAAACTGGGGTGGCTGCCAGGCAGTGCCTCCTCTTCTCCCATCCTCAGTGAATGAGAGTGGAGAGGGAGGCACTCCTGCCTCGTTTCTGATTTCAGAGGGAAAGCGTTTGGCTGTGCGCATCGATGCTGGGGTCATGTTGACACTTGTCTTTTCCATTCCTGATTTCCTCAGAAATTTGGACATGAAAGGAGGTTGAACTTTGTCAAAGGCTTTTACTGCATTTATTGAGATGATCGTGCAGCTTCGTGGGCCTGTTTATGTGCGTTATTTTTTTGCCTGTATGCATCTCTTTTAATAGCGTCGCAGACGTGTTTACTTATATCTCGTGGCCCAGATTTCATCATATAGTCATGCTTAGCTCCAAGGGGGCCTGGGAAATGTAGGCTTCTTTTTATGCTTGGTACTTTACCATTCAAAGCTGTTAGTGTGGGAGAACACTAGCATGGATATTGGGTAGGTTAGGACTATCATTTCTGTTACTGTAACAAAATACTCAAAGCTGGATAGTTTATGAAGAAGTTAGGCATATACAGCTCAGTTTTGAAGGTTAGAAGTCCAGTATCAGCCCTACCTGCTTGTCTCTCCTGAAGGCCTCCTAGGAGGTGACATCCTAATGGCTGGGGAAGAGAAGGAAGCCAGGGAGACCCAGGGCCAGGCATTGTCTTTAATGTCATCCTCACAGGACCTACGTAGAGTCCTCAAGAACTGTATTAACCTCTTCCCAGAGGTGCCACCAGTGTCCCATCATCTCCACCAGGCCAGACCTCTAAAGGTTCCCACACCTCTGCTTCACCACACTAGGGACCTGCTTCCAGCCATCTCCACACAAGCAGCAGGTTACTGCAGGCACAGGTGAGGATGACCCCAATCAGGTTGGCCAGAAGTCCTTAGACTCTAGGATATGGCCTGCGGACAGTCAGGAAGAGCTTTGATTGCCAGCAGTGGGGAGCTGTTGTGTGAGTCACAGTAAGACCGAGTGCACGGGACCCAGAGCAGGTCTGAGGAATAGGGGTAGCAGTGTGTTTAGATGCATGAAGTTTTCACATCCTCCAGTGCCCTGTGGAAATGTCAGTGGTGAATAATCAGACACCATTATGGATGTAAGTGCTCAGGCCTGTGGCTACAGACACATTGGAAGCCATCACAAGCTGGCAAGTGTTCATCAGACAGTTCCAACATCCAGAAAATAGAATGG